GCTATATTGATCTTCATCATCATGTGCATGTCTGTGAACCCAACAAGGCCATCTATGGCCTCAACCAAGTCTCTTGGGCAAGGTTCCAGCAATACAACAATTGCCTAACTGGAATTGGGTTTGTTAATAGTCGTCCCGACACCTTCCTCTTTATATACGCTAAAGGGTCATCCCTACTTTACTTGTTGGTTTATGTAGATGATATCATCATAATCGAAAATGATGACAAGGTCCTTCAAAAACATATCACTTACGTTCACAAGAACATTGAGATCAAGGACCTCAAATGCCTAAGTTACTTTCTGGGATTGGAGGTCAGCTAACTAATCATGGACTATTTTTAAGCCAACAAAGATATGCCAAGGATATTTTGTTGCGTGCTCAACTTCATGAAAGCAAACCAATAGCCACCCCCATGATTGTTAGACATCATTTGAGTCAATACATTGAACCCTTTACTAACCCAACCCTCTATCAATCCCTGGTTGGGGTGCTTCAATACCCCACTTTTACCAGGCCAGATATCTCTTAAGCTATAAATAATGTTAGCCAATACATGCATAATCCCATGGAATCCCTTTTTCATGTAGTAAAACGCCTGCTATGATATGTCAAAAGTACTATCAATCACGAACTCATGTTCCCTCACTCTTCGGCTCACGACATTGTTGCTTACTCCGATGTAGAATGGGGTGGTTGCCCAGATACATTGCAATCTACATCTGGATATGTTATCTTCCTAGGGACAAAGTTGGTTACATGGAGTTTTAAGAAGCAACACACCGTCTCAAGATCTAGCTGCGAATCAAATTATCAGGCCCTTGCAAAACATTGTTGCCGATGTGATTTGGCTAAAGCATTTACTTCATGAACTCCGGTTACCTGTTTCTCGTGCACCTACACTCCTCAGTGACAACAAAAATGCCCTTTTCATAACCAACAACCAGTCTATCACAAATGGGCCCTACATATCGCTCTTGATTATCATTTCGTTCGTGAAATGGTACAAAATGGCTTTCTGCAACAAACTTCATCCAAGCAAGTTCAACCTTGTCGATCTCTTGACAAAGAGCTTACCACGTCCACTCTTTCTACTCTTTTGCTCCAAGCTTTGTCTTGGACCAAACACCACGGCATGCTTGAGGGGGGGGGGGAGTTATTAGTACTAAAACATACTAGTACTTAGATTCCTAAACCAACTTAGTTTGTTAGGAAAGGTAACCCATTTTGTTTTAATCATTCCATATGTACATGTGTTCTATTAGGAAACCATCTCTCATTGTATTCTTATATAAATAAGAGATTTCTCCTCTCCTACAAATTGAGTGGTGAGAAAATTTCCAAAGTAATTCCTTCATAGTTATCTAACATCGTTTCAATGAATTGTTGCTATTGATTAGGCTCCATGTATGGTACAAATTTATTTATTATTTAAGATTATGGTACAAGAATGCATTAGGTTATACTTATACCTTAAAAATGGTAGATGAATTAGGGACATGGCAAAGAAGTCTCAATCTCATTTTTCACCACCTTTAGTATCAAATGAACTTGTTGTCTAGAGCATCAATTCTTTTTCAGAAAAGTTGGATGATAAATTGGAGTATTTTGAAAGTTTTGTGCATACACCAAAGGTGGAAGACATGGTGAAAGAGCACAAGGTCACCATTACAAAGCTTAATGATGTTTAGGCTTCCATTTCCATCTCTGGAGATTTATTGACAAAGTCTGAGTTTGCATAATTTAAGCCTATGATGTTGGATTTATTCAAGGCATTGGCTGACAAGCTCACTAAGTTTTAAAGGATAAGTATGTTCCTGCAAGTGCCTGAAACTACATGTAAATCAGCTTCTAACCCTATTCAAGCAATGCCCAAGAGCTTCATGTATGTTCCTTCAATAATGGCCAATTATATCAGTCAAGTGGATTTTGATGAAATGAAAGACAAAGTGACTGATATGGAGGAAAACATGAATGGCCTTAAAGAAGATCTTGCAAAGTATCACGATAATTGTAGCAAAGTTCAATCAAGAGAGGAGAAGAGAAAGCATGATGAGCATGATCATTTAGACCATCAAGAAGGGGAGAAAAGGTCAAAGGTGATTGAGTCTCCAAATGTTCCAAGTACTTCTGTTAATGATGGTGATACTAAGGTTAGTGCAAATGCTAATTCCGTTGATGTGGAAAAAAGAAGTAGGTGATGAATTCTTGGGTGGTTCAGATGAAAGAAAAAGCTTCAGCTTTGATGAGATAGTTGAAAATGATGTGATTGATGAAAAAGAATTGGAAGATACAAAAGAATTTGTAGAAGATGAGAATATTGATGATGGTGATGTATATCTAAATATGAGAAGAAAGATGTTTTTTATGATTTAGTTAATGAAGAGATAATGGATGCAAAGGGAATGTTGTTCCAGATATTCTAGTAAATATTTATGAAGATTTGGTTGTGTATCCTTTTAGCTACTTGCAAAAATGGTTCAAATTTTGGAGAAGGTGTTCTTTGGAGATTCTTTGGACCTGAGCCAATATATGTGGAGATATTTCTTTATCTATGAAGTTTGAAAAAATTGTGAAGATTGTTCCAATAAAGGATAGTCATTTTGAATGTTTTTATTTTGGAGATGATTATAAAACATTATTTAGTCATCTGTCTGGTTACAAAGCAAGAAACATTAAGAATATGTTCAGAGATCCCTTCCTTATCCCAGATGTTGGTTTTAATCTTGAAGAGCCTCTTGTATATCATATTGTATATAAGGAGGAATTGATTTTTGAAGAACCTAATGAAATCTTGTTTATTGAAGTATTTCCCAAGTTCACCTACATTGATTTGTACATTAAAGATGGAGAAGATCACCCCAACAACTGATCTACCTACACCAACTTATAGCATCGATTGATCCTGCCCAAGTGAAGGAACCTCTAACAAATGAGCAACCATCATTTGTTTCGTACAAGCCCTAAGCATATCTTCCAAAATTTGAAGCTTCCTCTCACTTTGACCATCTATCTTCAACTAGCCCCAAATTTATAAGGTAAATCTTGTATCTTTATCTAAGATGATTGGCAACGGCATTCCATGTGTTGTCATTATTTTGTCCGCATACAGCTACGTCAACCTCTCCAATGTGTATTAACTTATCAGTAAGACGTGTGTGATAACTTCATTAGCCGATCTACGGTTATCCAAACGATTTGTCTACTCTCTGCATTTTAGGTATCTTGGTGACAAAATATGTTTTCGCACACTTGATCCTACTTCCATACTAGGATCTCCATTTGTTGTAGACCGCTTAGATGGTTGTTGATCATCTGTCTTTAGGCATACAAGGCATTTCTCTAGGTAGTTTGAAACCACTTTCTTTATACATCCACCAATCGCTCTTCTATAAACCCTTCCATATAATAGAAGGTAAATGTTTAACATCATGTCCTTTTATCATGAGGTCGGCATCATAAGAGCCCATGGTCAAGCTTTTTATCGAAAATATTTTAGTCCTATATTAGATTGCAATATCTAATGTTGCATATTTATTAAGCAAACCTATTATTATATAGTCAAATATCTGAAATATTTCTTAATTATATAAACCAAGAAACTGAAACCCAGTTAATAAATTCATTTTTGCTATGCTCACTCCAAAGGAACCTCCTATGAACATATCATATATGGCAAGATTGAACCCTCTTCTTTTTCTTTTTACATTATTAATACATAAAATAGAATTTTAAACATGAAACCAAGTTAATAAATTTAAGGTAATTAATGTGATGCTCGGTAAATATTAATGCGATGCTCGGTAAAAAAATAACAACTAATAATTCTAGTTCTTTTAAGATGTCACATCATCTTTTGATGATTCTCGTTTATATAAATATATAGATTAGAGTCTAAAATATTCCTACAAAGCACATATGATAGTATGTATGTCAAAATTAAAGGCTCTCTCTATTATGGATCATGCTCTAACAACACAAATAATTTTGACAAAAAAAACTTACTTTTCAAAGAAGCAATGATTTTCATAAGATATATATCCTTAAAAAATGAAATAAAAAAGTATAACATATTCGATCACATCAAACCATTGATAACCTTAGCTTGGGTCCATAAGTTAAAAATAAACATGAATTATGAACATGAAAAGATAAAGGCTATATATTACCTTTTTCATAAGTGAAAGAGGTTGTATTATATAAAAAAGACACTGAATTCTTTTGGTCTCTTGACGTTTTAGGGTTCCCTATTACTATTAGTGTTTCGGATCGTATCATGTAGTTATCGTATCACCTTGCTTTTACGAATACGGTTTGCTATTTAATACTGGTGGCACTCGGAAAAAAAACTACATCTTTTAATCCAGAAAAAAACTACATATTACCGGCTAGTAGGTTTAAAGATAACGAAAAACCTACATAATTTTTATAGTTCACAAATCCTAGGTCATTTAAATCTTTCGCATCTATCGACATCGCTCCTTATCGCCACCCCTTCCCACTCGCCACATAACGTCTGCTCACCATCACCGTCGTTGCCCCCTGCCATCGATCTTCCTCTTTTTGATATTTTTTTTGTTGTCTTTCAATTCTGCTACTTTTTCAACAATTTAATGAATTACTTATAGACAAATAAAAAAAAGAGGGAGAATAAAAAATTCAATAATTTATTTGTTAAAGATATATTCAAGGAGTTAATTATTCAAAATAGTAAAGTTATAAATATAATTAGTTTAGGATGATAATAATAACAATAATTTCATCCTTCATTGATAACGATAAGCCATAGTAATAATACTAAAAATAATTTGATTTTATCTCTGACGATGAAACATCTTATATAGAAAACAGTTTTAAAAAGAAGGATATGATTTAAATGTCAACCATATGAATAGAAGCATTGTACAAAATAGTAGAAAATGATGAAATCGATTTAAATCTGTGAACATTTACTGGCATGTCAAATCTGGAATCCTACTTCTGAAGAAGGAAAATCAAAATTCAAAGCAAAACGATTCACAAAGTATTTAATTTGCTGAATGTAAATCTACGAACATGTACTAGAACTAGAACTCTCAGATGTAAACAAGAGTTGTTCTAGCAAATCGGATCCTAAATCCTCAAAAACCACAGGAGTTTCACAACAGACTTGATTCTTATTGTTTCTCTTACTTTTAGAAATTCTTGTAAACAGGAGCTTTTCCAGCAAATCAGATCCTAAATCCTCAATTACCATAGGAATTTCTGAACACACTTGATTCCTACTGTTTCTCTTACTTTTGGAATTTCTTCTAACACGATGAGTCTCCTTTATGGCTGCTGCTGGTGAAGATCCATCTTTGAAACTGCTGTAGCCTTTCCCTTTTAAAGACTCTTTCACTCTCTCCATTGGGAAGTTGAGTTGAGTAGAGGAACCTCGCATCGCAAATGCCGCTTGGTCGTAAACTAAAGCAGCCTCTTCGGCGCTATCAAACGTACCTAGCCAAACCCTAATCCCGTTTCTTGTGGAATCCCTTATCTCTGCTGCAAACTTCCCCCAGGGTCTTTTCCGTACGCCTATGAACCGCTTTTTGTGGACTTCAGGCTCTTCTTTTGGCTTTGCAATCGCTTCTAAGGTACCCTTTTCGGGTTGTGAGGTTTTGTTTGGATCTGTTTCGGATGAATGCTCATATTGGAACTCATTAGGATCCTTGAAAACGAGATTTTCTTCTTCTTTGATATGGACTTCTGAGAGCATATGGTGAGAGAATAAAAGCTCATCCCATGAACAAGGAGACTTGGGAAAGAATTCAAGATTGAAATAAGAAGACATTGGTGAAGGAAGTTTCATTGATCTTGGGGAAAGATTAGATGGCTTTATGAGTATGAAACTTGATGTGTTTGTTAATGGAGCCAAAGGATTGCACCTTTCCTTCTTGTCTTTCCTCGACAAGTGGATGGAGTTTTTGCTTCATAAATTATTACTTTGTCCGCTCATCAATAAAGTTTTGCAGAGCTTTTGCATCTCCGGTCCATATGGTTAGAGTTTTCCCATTTCAGTCCATGGAGCCACAGGGCGCATTAGCTTCCCCTCAAATTTAGAACTTCAATTATTCTTTTAAAACTTTAAGGGTGTTTGAATTGCTATAAAAACAACTTGTTGACTTATTCCGGTGTGATACCAGTAATAAGCACTTTTGAGTGTTTGGATAAACAACTTATACCTGTGCCAAACCGGGTAATAAAGAGTTTTTGAAGAAGTTAAACTCTTCTGACTTATAATAAGTTGGTAAATATTTTTCTAGAAAAATATAAGTTGTTTCAAATAAGCAATCCCAAACATCCCTATATCTATCAGGGTCTGTGGATATTTTTATAAAATATAAAAAAGTCTAATCGAGGAAAAACGAATATTGGCTCAAAGAGCTTATTTAAACCTACCTAAAATAGTTCTTTTAAGAGGCTGTATAGAACTTATCAAAAGAAATTCTTTCAGTAAATAATAATTACAAACAGCAGATTAATACGATTCACACATCTTCAAGAACACATCAATCCTACAGGTTCCATTGCTTCGGAATCTGTGATATCAATTTTGCTGAAATTTGAAATCCATTTTCGATTGACAGAGCATTAAATGCAGTATGATTTGAAGGGAAATGGTCTTACAATTAATAGTATGCAATTATGTGGCAAGTGATAAAAAAGAAAAACAAGACTGACAGAAGAAATACAATTGATAGTGAAGAATATGTAGCTGCCAAAATCCACTTCAATATCAAATAAGCAGAGGCCTTTTTAATAGGAAAAACAGTAACTGAAAGCTGAAAAACATGACCCATAACAGTCACAAAACCCACTTCTCCACTTTCTCTTAAAATAAGGAAAAAACTCTATGACTTGGTCATTTTAACTGCTTAAATTAAATAACAATTAATATCAACAGCAAGCACACGTTTCTAAGGGTAGAAAGGCATCTGGAAGAACTATTGCAAGTGTTGCGATAATGGATGCCATCATTGAAACATCATATTATTAAATATTCTTTATTTAATCATGAGCACAGGTCTGGTTCTTGTTCTTTTTTCACATAAGATTATACAAGTAATATTATTTCTTAAACCCTAATCGAATCGAATTTAAGAACAATATTTTGTTTTAAATAGAAAGAATAATAAAACTATTCCAACATATTTGAAACAAAAATCACATCGAAGTTGATTAATCTGAATATCCAATCCGTGAGCCAACTAATTTTGTAATTTTAAAACTATTAGTATTAAGTTTAACATTAATGAATCAGAAGGGTGGTGCTTGATTGGTTTGACCTTGACTTCAAAGGTCAAAAGCAACAGGAGGTACCAGTTTCAAATCCAAGGAGGAATAAAAATCCTTTTGTGGCCACGGAGGTTCAAATGCGGTAACTCCGAACTATCTGCAAAACAGGTGGTCGCTCTGGGATTAGTCGGCTCACATAGAAGATTGAATATCTAAATTAATAAAAGAAAAAAGTTTAACATTAATGACTAGTTGGCATTTACAAAATTTTATGAATAATTTTTAATTTGTTAAAAGCGTAAATGGTCATCAAATGTCTTTTTTCTATTTTATAGTTTTTTGAGAGTACAACTCAAATTAGTTCATTAAAAATTGAAGTACGAGGATTATTTTTGGCAAACTAACTATATAATAAATTATGTATTAATTGATAAGTTAGTTATTAACTAATAAAGTAGTTATAATTGACCAAAAACTATCTGATAAATTAAATGATAACATAAAATGACTTTGAACAGATAACATAAGAGATATAATTAAAAAATATAATAAGTTATATGAAATAGATTTTCAAAAATCGAGTTTAAGGCTTGCTTTACCGAACTTTTTCAACAAGCTAAAAAACTAAGCTAGTTATATTTGTGTGATAACCTTAACACCTTAATTTAGTCCTTATGAGAGTTCGGGGGTGTGGTTGTAAACTCTTTTGCTTTTCAGGAGCTAGTCCGGTAATTAGGTGAATAAAGGGAGTAAACCCTTCTCCCTTGCTCATTTGGAGTAGACGATTCTAGAGAAGGTAGGGAGAAAACGATTTTGATGGAGATAGAGCCATCTTGAAGCTTTGAAGGGAAATTAATGATATGTGGTGAAGGGTTATCATCTTGAAGGTAAATTTCTTCTCTGAGGCCTTCTCCTCCAATGGAGTTATTAGTTTCATGTTTTGAAAATAGTCTGTCAAATAGTTGAGTTTTGAATAGAGTCTTCACTATTTTCTTTTGGGAGGGTAGGTTCATGTTCTTCAAGGGTTATAATCTTTTTGTATCATTTCTGGTTGATGGAATTCTTGAGAGAAAAGGGTTTTGGGATCCAAACCTAGATGCATGATTAATAGATAGGTTTGGATGAATTAATTTATGAATGGTAGTTAGACTGGTGTTATAAATGAGTTTTGGATGTTGAATATGTTGATTCTCTGGTTTTTATACCTTAAACCCAATTTGGGAAGGATTGAGCAAATATGGCTATTGGGATTTTTGGTGCAGAACTCGTGCAGCACAAACAGTTGCAATTGCAGGTTCCATGCAACTTCGTTCGCATGGAAGTTTTATCCAACACAATTTTATGTTACTTCAATTTTGTATTGTTTCTCGAATTAGGGTAGGTGTGAGGCTGTGTTTTGGGGTTGTCTTAGGAATCAGTAGAGATTGTTTTGGAGATATTTAAGATGGTTTAACACCATTAACTATGTCGTCTAATTCACGTGTTTGGTTTCAACTTAATTAGCCGTTAGGATTTGTGGCGGTGTGCTAAACCTGAGGTGAGTTCCCTTAACCGTATTTTTAAATATGGATCAATTATGAATGCTTTGAAATCATTGATTATGGTAATGTGTCTTGACAACTTGAACCGTTACTTGATTAAATATCATTTTTTACCACATGTCGATATCACATTTGGTTTGTGGTTGGATTTGCACAATGAGAGCAGTGTACCTTGAGATAATGGAATCTCTTGGGAGTTTGTTTTCCGTGTTTCGTGAATATGTTTCTCATGTAGATAGGACACACATCTACTTGGAACCTTAGTATAAATGTCATAGTGGAGTGACGGTCTGTCTATGAGCACCATGCAAAGTCCGTTTGGTTTTGGTGATTGCTTATTTACTTGGTTATCCAATTGGTTATTTACTAGGTTATCCATTTGGTTATTTCATTCTCATGATGAGTCTATCATTTCAAATGCTCTACTTTTATTATGGAAATAAAGGAATTCACTAGACCTTTTGGTCTAACCCTCGCTTCAAAACTAAACCATTTTCAAGCAAGTGTTATGTTGAAAGTTCTTCCAATGGTACAGAGAGGGTGTGATGCGAGTGGTGGTGGTTTAGCTTAAAGTCTGGAGTGTAGATTTCCTTTAGATCTGTAATAATTCTCAATCGTGATGGCTGTTTTTTAGTTGTAAGCATTGGAGATATATTTAATCCTATTGATGTGTTAATTTTGGGGCCATTTTGGCATCTTTTTATAATTACTATTACCTTGGAAATTGGTATCATAGCCATAGTTTAAGAGATTTAGGTGATCTGTTGGGCCTAAACTTATATTGTAGTGTAAGGAAACATAGTTGAGATACAGGGAGCATTAGGAAAGACCTCAACAGGGGCATTTATGCTGAGATAGTGAGGACCCTCATGTAAGGTAAATCTAAAATTGCATACGGCCAATGCAATCGTAAATTTATAGGTACATGTGTGCTTGATTTGCCTTATTGTTTTGGAACTGCGGGATTAAGCATTGTATATATGTGTTATTTTCCATGATTATATTTGAGCCTATGTATAGGGAAAACTTTATGATCTTCAAGAAGATGTCATAGATAGAGTATCAACTTTTGAGCTAGTGGTAGAATTTCTGAAATTCAAGGAAGGAAGAATGACATATTAAGAGTATACTTCGAATTTATAGGAAGTCTCCATCTGCATGGTGTTTGTATTGATTAAACAATTTAGTGTGAGAATTGATTCTGGTTTAAAGGTTTCCACTAGAGTGCAGGTAATACCATACTTGACTTTTAAGTCAGCAACTGATGCGACGAAGATTTTTGGGAATGAATTGGTAGTCAATTCAGGGTGTGAGGTAGAGATAAGAAGAAATAGAAAAATCTAGCTAATAACCCTCAGGAGTCAAAGTGGTCGAAGTTGGATAACCAGCGATACAATGATCAAGTTGAAAATTATATTGTAAGATTAATTCGATGTGTTAGGGAATTGTCCCAAGAGTTTGCTATAGGCATGGAAAGCTCGTTCAATGGTCCGTAACTGAAGGCCCATAAGAAGTTGTTATCAACTTGTAATCTTGGTAAAAGTGAACTATCCTCACCCATAAGAAAAGTTTAATGCGTTATGTTTTCTTTAAGTAGCATGAGTCACACCATACGTACATACATACATACGTACATACGTACATATATATATATATATATGCATATTGAAATTTAAATTTTGAAGAACAAATGGATGTATGCAAACAAAGAGTCTAACTTTTGAAATGCACGAACTTGTTGTTGTGACATGTTGTCTTGTAAAATATGTATATATATAGATATATATGGGTGTGTGTATGTATGTATGTATATATATATATAAAAGAAAAGTTTGATGCGTTACGTTTTCTTTTAAGTAGCATGAGTCACACCATACATTCACACACACACATACACACACACACACACACACACATATATATATATATATATGCATATTGAAATTCAAATTTTGAAGAACAAATGGATGTATGCAAACAAAGAGTCTAAATTTTGAATGCACAAACTTCTTGTTGTATGTTGTCTTCTAAAATATGTATATGTGTGTGTATGTATATATATATATATATATATATATATATGAAATTATCTCT